ATAAGATATTGACTCACACACTCACCACCCCCCAACCACTCTCCCACCTCCGACCGCCAGCAGTAAGAGGAGGACACTAATGAGAAAAAACCACTGATCTAGTCCAACTCCCTGTTGAGGGCAGGAATCCACCACTCCTGCAGCACAAAAACATAGAACCCAAGGGTTGGAAGACACCTTGGAGAAATGCTTTGGACTGCCTGCCTTACATAGCAAAGAGAGGAGGGCAGGTTTTGGTAGACAGCTACACCTTTGCTCCACTGTGGTTTGCTTTGTTCCTCTTTAGTAGAGTCATCTTTTTCAGGGCTTTTCTTTTTCTTTTTTTTCTTTTTTTTTAAGCCAATTGAGATTTATGGACAGGAGGACAAGAAGGGGACTATCCCCTTCAGATCAGAATGCATGATAAACCTGCATTTGAGGAAGTCCAGTGCAGAAATTGGTTGTAAGTGGCAAACGCAATCACCGAGAGAAAGTTAAATATAACTTAATTTACAGCAGGTTAAAGGTACACAGTGTTCAAGGAAACCAAAGCATAAATGTCACATTCAGTGACTAGGGGAGTAAAAATGCTGCTGGCCTTGGATTTCGTTAAGGCGTGCATAGGATTTGGCTGAAGCCCAGATGAGGAGACACCAGAGGATAATTTAGAACAGGTTTTCATTGATCCAGGGCTTAATGGACAGGTCTGAACCTGCTCTATTCCAGTTCTCCCATATTGGAGGCTCCATGATGCAATTTGCCTTTCCAGATCTCCTGCTGAGAAAAGGGACAGTAGCGAAACGATGGGAAAGTATGCGTGTCCTGCACACACTCACACAGCCCACAGAAGGCAGAGAGAGGGAGGGCAAATATTGGATTGACAATTTGGTCCTCAAATCAGGATCTCCCTTGTAATCAGCCCACCCTTGGTCCCCACAATCCCATTGCCTTGATGATTTAGAAAAAGGCTTGATTTTACAACTCATGCTGGGAAGAGTGGAAGGAACCAAGAGAAGATGACCAGCAGCAAAGTGGAGGGACTCAATTATAGCAGGAACGGGTGCACCATTCAAAGATCTGAGTGATCAGGCTGAGGACAGATTGACCTGGAGAAAACTGATCTATGTCGTTGCTGAGAGTCAACACTAACTTGAGGGCACATAATTAATCAATCATAGGAGTTCACCGAAGAGATGGTGCACCAAGATATATTTGCAAACTTCCTAGGGGAATGGCAACAATGCCAGAAATTCATATTAGGAATGGATACTTGCAAACATTCTCATACCTGGGAAAGTGTGTGAAGAGCATGCATTAGTGCAGAAAAGATGTGCTATTTTTTAAATGGATATGAGAGGGATTGAATTCAGCTTGTCAGGACAGCCCCGAGCCTTCAATAAAGTTTATTTTCTACCCCATCCTTATCCCTTAACAAGAAATCTATATTACAACTGTAGGTCTCTTTTTCCTTTCTCACTAGATCAGGGGCACACTGATGAGTGTGGAAGATCTAGCATTTGGGCTCAGAGATTGTAATCCATCACTTGTAGCCATTCTGAAAAGATTCCCCAATGCCTAGGGGAGCTTTTCGTCTACAACAGTTCTTCAGTTCAGTTCAATCTTTATTACAGTCATAGACCAGTACAAAGACATGAATTTATAAAACAAACATAGTCATACTTAAAATATTGATAGGCATATATATTAAAATACACTTGTTACCTATTCAACTCAACAAATGAGGTCTAGGATGTAGCCTATATTATCTATCCTAACTATGTACGGATTAAAAGTATATTAAATGTGAAGTATAAAACTTAAAAATCTGCATTGTGACTATGCTATATGTAAAAGTATATATAGGCAAAATTATAGAAAATTTCCTATAGTATACAGGCCGTTACAAAGGATAGCCTTTCTTAGCTTTGGTCTCTTGATGAGGGGGATCTTCATTGCTGCTGTG